AACAGCAGGTTCCAGTAGCTCATAGGGATACAGATACAGTAACTCAGCGGCCTGAGCCTGACAGTAGGCCTCAGAGCAAGCAGAAGAGTAGAAGGTACTCATTGGCTCTTTCCACACTCTCCTGTTAATCTATGTTCACCACGGTGTCCTCCAAGCAATTCTACAGTAAAATCAAATTCAACCTTCTTTTTATTCCAGGGTCCCCCCCCCCCATTCTGCATTATGTTACTTCCCTTCAGTGGTTGGCCTGGTTTCAGCCCACCGTTGCCCCGGTTTTTTTGGATGCTGTTTTGCTGTGGACTTAAATTGCCTCAACTTGAACCCTGAAAAATCTGGAGTTGCAGGCAAATGCTGAAAGGACCAGTGCTTCTCTTCTCAGTCTCCATGCTAGCAGCTTGCAGGAGTACAGGGCATACTAAGAATCTGTAGAACCAGGCCAGGTCAACCCTGGCCTAAAGCTCTAGAAACAGCTAAGTATTGTAATTCTTTATTCCAATAGCCAAGTTACCTGCCCTACAGTTACTGTTAATAAAGAGGCTTTCAGCCTAATGGAACTGGGTGTTTGTTGTTTGCTCCATTGCAGAGAATAGGATAAATTCACAAAGCAAAAATTGAACCTCTGAATGTATAAAGAAGTATTTTTATTCTATACATGTAAGCATCTTTTGCTGCCACTGCCTTGTCTTATTCTGTGTTTTTTTCTAAGTCAAGAGGTTCAGATCCAACCCAGCCACAGCTGCTAGAGGAAAAAGTGGTGCTATTTGAGAAAAAGGACACGAAAGCTGTGCACCACACAACAGAACAGGGGACTGGTGTTCACACCTACAGCAAATGGGCCCAGTAATAAGGCATTGCATTTTGTCATCTCATTTATGTCTTTTACTTACTAGCTGTGGAATACAGGGCCTTCATTATACATGACACACAAGCATGTACAATAAAAGCCAGGCAGTAGCTCTTCCTAAGCATGTGGGGTGGGGTGGAGGATTTGGAGCTGGAAGAATATAGGAGTGGAGAAGAGGGTGCTTCATCCATACCTTACCTGCCATGCCTCCACTCCAAACCATGCTACACAAGCCTCTCCTCCTTCCTCCCAAGCTCCATTTGCTTCTTTGCCTCTCTGGAACCCTATAGAGGAAAAACATCTCGGAAGGGAAGATTTGTTGCCGAGAGATGAACCATAAGATAGTCTCAAGCACCCTAGTCCACTGCTGCTTTTTTGCTTCAAATTCCCTTATCAGAACTGCTTTTCTATAGGGGGAAAAATGGCTACCACACATTTATAAAAGGACTCAAGCAAGACTCTAGAGTGGCAGCACAAACATGGGAAGAAGGAAGGAAGGAAGGAAGGAAGGAAGACACTTGCATGTAATTTCCACCATATACAAACAAGCTGGAACAGAGGATGGGGTGGGTAACGCCCAAAGAACAAAGAGAGACGGCATTAAAAAAAACTAATTATACTCCAACTATTAGCAAGTAATATCACATGTGTCTTCACTAATATGGTAAATAATCAAATTCAGTACATTCACCAATGTGTTGAAATATCAGACTACAGCATATTTCTCATGAAGACTCATTACTAAACATTGTGAAATTACAACAAAGAAACTTAATATAGGGTATCTCAATATAAAGACTTTCAGAACTACAAGTATTAACAGAGTTAAATGTGATGACTCCCAAGTCCAAACAGATAAAGGGGGAGAAAAGGGACTGTATGCATAGATTCAGCCTGCAGTTCACTTGCGATTCGACAGATAGCCGCAGATGACTTATGTCATTTCCATTTTTATGTCTCAAGAATCACCAAACATACAAAAAAGACTTCACAACATCTGTCTCAGAATTCTTTTTTTTTTTTGCTTTCATTGAAATGAAATGGACCCTCATATCACAGCATTCTACCATGGGGTATTGCATGCATTACTCAATGTGCAATCAACCCAAGGCTAACTTCAATCTGACAGTATTGTTGGGAAGTTCCAGATGTGATGTCCCCTGTCTCAGACCTCCAGACTGAGTGGCAAGAGAGACTAGATAGCTAGACAGGCAAACTGACCTTTCTTCCTGTATCTACTCTTCTGCCACTGTCCTCTTTAATATGCAGATTGTGATCTCAGGAATCAATTTCCCTTAATTAATTAATTAAATAAATTTATATCCCACCCTCCCTGCCAGGCAAGCTCAGGGCAGCTTACATTAAAAGGTTAAAATACATTAAAACACAAAGTGTGGACATCGTAAAAATCATATACATAACACGATAAAGTGCTAGCGGCGGTATGATATTGAATAGTAATCCTAGTAGGCCATGGTGGAATGGTCACAAAAGAGTATATAGCCAGAGTTGGTAACCAGCTTATCAGACCATTAATAGAAACTGTTGCAGGCTACTGGTGATAGTACACAGGGCCTTACCACAGTTCAGTTGTAGGAAGTGGCTCCTAGTCAAAGGCCTGGTGGAAGAGCTCTGTTTTGCAGGCCCTACGGAACTGTAGAGGCCAGCCTGGCATCTTTGGGTCCAGGCAGGGCCAAATGATTTTGAGACCCCAACCTCAGTGCTCTCTGGGGAACATGTGGGGAAAGGCAGTCCCTCAGAAAAGTAGGCCCCAGACCATATAGGGCTTTAAAGGTTAAAACCAGCACCTTGAAGCAAATTCGGTATGCTATCTGCAGCCAGTGCAATGCCTTCAGCACAGGCTGGATATGTTCCCGCACAGGGAGACCCATCAGCAGCCTGGCTGTAGCATTTTGCACCAGCTGCATCTTCTAGATTTGTGACAAGGGCAGCCCCATTTAGAGATCATTACAGTAGTCCAATCTCAAGATGACCATTGCGTGGATTACTGTTGCCATATCATTGCATTCGAGGAAGGGAACCAGCTGCCTAATCAGCCAAAGATGGTAAAAGCCTGCCTTGGCAGTAGCTGCTACCTGGGCCTCCATTGTTAAGGAGGCATCCATGAGCACTCCCAAACCCCTAACCTTCAGTGCTGGCACCAATGGCACCCCATTGAAGGCCAGTAATGGGATCCTTACCCCCAGTCTGCACTGACTCAGGCACAGGACCTCTGTCTTCATTGGATTTAATTTCAATCAGCTCAGTCTAAGCCAACCAGCCACTGCTTGTAACACCCGCTCCAGATCTTCCGGGGTAGAGTTGGACTGACCACCAAACAACAGACATAGATGGGTGTCATCCACATATTGGTGACATCCCAGTCCATACCTCCGGGCAATCTGGGCAAGGGGGCACATATAGATGTTAAATAACATCAGGGAAAGCACTGCCCCTTGGGGCACTCATAGAATCATAGAATGTTAGGGTTGGAAGGGACCCTGCAGGTCATCTAGTCCAACCCCCTGCACTCTGCAGGAGCATAGCTGAAAGATAGCCCTACAACATACCCGCATCCACCAGACTGTTCCACTGCTCAACCACTCTTACAGTTAGGAAGTTTCTCCTGATATTTAGCTGGTAATGACTCCTTGTAATTTCCACTCATTAGATCTAGTCTTGCAATCTGGAGCAAGAGAGAATCGATCTGCTCCATCTTCTACATGACAGCCCTTCAAATACTTGAAGACTGCAATCATGTCCCCTCTAAGCCTTCTCTTTCCCAGGCTAAACAGACCCAACTCTTTCAGCCTTTCCTCATAAGACTTGGATTCCAACCCTCTCACCATCCTGGTTGCCCTCTTTTGGACACGTTCGAGCTTGTCAACATCTTTCCTAAAATGTGGTGCCCAAAACTGGACACAGTACTCCAGGTGAGGCCTGACCATAGCAGAATAGAGCAGAACTACCACCTCCCGTGATCTGGACACAATGCTTCTGTTAATGCATCCTAAGATTGCATTAGTTTTCTTCACCACCACATCGCACTGCAGGCTCATGTTTAGCTTGTGATAAACCAGACTCCACAAATCAGCAGGTGCCTTCGGAACAGCTGATCTCTGAGCGCCACCCTTTGTCCCCAACCTTGGAGAAAGGAGGCAAGCCATTGCAAGGAAGCCCCTGAATCCCAGTGTCAGTGAGGCGGTGGATCAGTAACTGATGATCGACCATGTTGAATGCT